TCCCCAGACGTCAGAGGTATGTGAGGTATGTGCAAAGGTTCTAGTGCCCTCTTTGGTCCAAACCAGGCTAATGGATATAGCCGGCTATGGGTATTATAGGCTCATGAAACTTATTCCTAAGCTTATTCCTAAATGTTTCTTAGCGGTATTTTGTTTTATTCTTGTGTGTGTTCTAAGTAAGGACCAGTGGACGAACCGTCAGGTGTTGGCTCCTATGAATATGCTTTGTTACGACAAACTTCCAAAAAATTCAGTGGGTAACAAAGCTTAAGACCAATCGAATCAATATTCTTAAAAATATCAGTATTTTTAAGAATATTGATTCGATTGGTCTTAAGCTTTGTTCCCCACTGAATTTTTTGGAAGTTTGTCGTAACAAAGCACGTCGTACATATTATAATAATGTATGCAGTGAAAGGATTCGCCCAAAGAATGTGTTATGTTTACCATATTTCTCTGAGGTTTGAGAATATTGTTAAGGCCTTGAAACTTTTTAATATAGATGTAATGTTTAGCTACGAAAACACTGTTGGTAAGCTATTAGTTAGGAACAGCCCTCGTAGTGATAATTGCGTCATTTATAAAATACCTTGTAAGGAATGTAATAAGTTCTATGTCGCGCAAACATCTAAAGATTTAAAATGTAGAATATCGCAACATAAATACTCTGTAAGACATGGCCAATTGTCTAATGCTTTGTTTGTTCATTTGTCAGAAAAAGCTCACCAAATTGATTGGGAGAGTGCTTCTTCAATAACAAATTGTAAAAGCACCTATAACAGAAACATAATTGAATCTGCTTTGATACAGATCACCAAAGAAAGTAATTTGAATATTAGCAGTGGTCTATATAACTTAGATCCATTTCTAATAGATCAGCTAAAGGGCGATTTAAGTAGGATCATTGGAAAACATTTGTCTTACTAATTCATTGTATATATTTACCTCTTTATGTTATAATTAACTATGTATTGTGCTTGTATGTCTGCTGTATCAGATGGGCCATTGGGCTACATCGGATGGGCCAATTGGGTGCATCTGATGGGCCAATGGGCCGTGTGCGTTGTCCAAGTATTGTACCTCACCTTACTTCACCACTCTCTCCTGCCTATTTATACCCATCACTCGATCTGTAAAATCATTCCTTCTGAAGATGTATTTAATATACGAAAGTACTTAAGGAAATTCCTGTTTCATTTTCCTCCGTGGTCTGACATTGTCACATTCTTAATCACGTGTTTATTTTCGTGATATACACACACACACATATATATATATATTAGTATATTTTGGTAGCAGTCTTTCCTGTAGACATATATTATTAAATATGACCGAAAAAGTAAGATTAATAATTCTAACACGAATTTTCTCAATCTTTCGTACATTACGCTTCACTGTTGGAGGTAAATCAAAAATCAATTCTCCAAAATTCATTTTTATTTCTAGTCTGACGCGACACGGGCGCGTTTCGTAAAACTTATTACATTTTCAAAGACTTTAGTTCACAAATACACAACTGAATAGAACTTACGTATCTCCGATTTTATATCTACATTTGAGTGAGGTGGAAGGGGTGATGTGGCATTAACACAAGACAGAACAAAGTGTGGTATTAATAGGGTATTAATTTCATCAACACAAGACAGAACAAGAGTATTAATAGGGTATTAATTTCATCAACACAAGACAGAACAAGAGTATTAATAGGGTATTAATTTCATCAACACAAGACAGAACACGAAACAATGGATATTGAATAGAAGTGTTTGTAAAAAGCCTATTGGTCCATATTTCTTGATGATTCTATATTGGAGCGGAGTCTTGAGGTGGGTAGAATATAGTTGTGCAATAATTGGCTGTTGATTGCTGGTGTTGACTTCTTGATGTGTAGTGCCTCGCAAACGTCAAGCCGCCTGCTATCGCTGTATCTATCGATGATTTCTGTGTTGTTACTAGGATTTCTCTGGCGATGGTTTGGTTGTGGGAAGAGATTTTATGTTCCTTAATGGAGCCCTGTTGCTTATGCATCGTTAAACGCCTAGAAAGAGATGTTGTTGTCTTGCCTATATACTGGGTTTTTTGGAGCTTACAGTCCCCAAGTGGGCATTTGAAGGCATAGACGACGTTAGTGTCTTTTAAAGCGTTCTGTTTTGTGTCTGGAGAGTTTCTCATGAGTAGGCTGGCCGTTTTTCTGGTTTTATAGTAAATCGTCAGTTGTATCCTCTGATTTTTGTCTGTAGGGATAACGTTCTATTAACAATATCTTTCAGGACCCTTTCCTCCGTTTTATGAGCTGTGGAAAAGAAGTTCCTGTAAAATAGTCTAATAGGGGGTATAGGTGTTGTGTTAGTTGTCTCTTCAGAGGTTGCATGGCTTTTCACTTTCCTTCTTATGATGTCTTCGAGGAAACCATTGGAGAAGCCGTTATTGACTAGGACCTGCCTTACCCTACAGAGTTCTTCGTCGACTTGCTTCCATTCTGAGCAGTGGCTGAGAGCACGGTCGACATATGCGTTAACAACACTCCTCTTGTACCTGTCTGGGCAGTCGCTGTTGGCATTTAGGCACATTCCTATGTTTGTTCCTTAGTGTAGACTGCAGTGTGGAAACCTCCGCCCTTTTCCATGACTGTTACATCTAGAAAGGGCAGCTTCCCATCCTTTTCCATCTCGTAAGTGAAACGCAGCACGGAACTCTGCTCAAATGCCTCCTTCAGCTCCTGCAGATGTCTGACATCAGGTACCTGTGTAAAAATGTCGTCAACATACCTGCAGTATATGGCCGGTTTCAAGTTCATGTCGACTAAGACTTTTTGCTCGATGGTACCCATGTAGAAGTTTGCAAACAGGACACCTAGGGGAGAACCCATGGCGACCCCATCTACTTGCTTATACATGTGCCCATCCGGGCTCAAGAAGGGTGCCTCTTTAGTACAAGCTTGGAGTAGTTTCCTCAGAATATTTCTGGTATGTCAAGAGGAGTACAGGCTGGATCACGATACACTCTGTCGGCTATCATTCCGATTGTCTCGTCCACAGGTACGTTGGTAAAAAGGTGTCCTGTTTGCAAACTTCTACATGGGTACCATCGAGCAAAAAGTCTTAGTCGACATGAACTTGAAACCGGCCATATACTGCAGGTATGTTGACGACATTTTTACACAGGTACCTGATGTCAGACATCTGCAGGAGCTGAAGGAGGCATTTGAGCAGAGTTCCGTGCTGCGTTTCACTTACGAGATGGAAAAGGATGGGAAGCTGCCCTTTCTAGATGTAACAGTCATGGAAAAGGGCGGAGGTTTCCACACTGCAGTCTACACTAAGGAAACAAACATAGGAATGTGCCTAAATGCCAACAGCGACTGCCCAGACAGGTACAAGAGGAGTGTTGTTAACGCATATGTCGACCGTGCTCTCAGCCACTGCTCAGAATGGAAGCAAGTCGACGAAGAACTCTGTAGGGTAAGGCAGGTCCTAGTCAATAACGGCTTCTCCAATGGTTTCGTCGAAGACATCATAAGAAGGAAAGTGAAAAGCCATGCAACCTCTGAAGAGACAACTAACACAACACCTATACCCCTATTAGACTATTTTACAGGAACTTCTTTCCACAGCTCATAAAACGGAGGAAAGGGTCCTGAAAGATATTGTTAATAGAAACGTTATCCCTACAGACAAAAATCAGAGGATACAACTGACGATTTACTATAAAACCAGAAAAAACGGCCAGCCTACTCATGAGAAACTCTCCAGACACAAAACAGAACGCTTTAAAAGAGACTAACGTCGTCTATGCCTTCAAATGCCCACTTGGGGACTGTAAGCTCCAAAAAACCCAGTATATAGGCAAGACAACAACATCTCTTTCTAGGCGTTTAACGATGCATAAGCAACAGGGCTCCATTAAGGAACATATAATCTCTTCCCACAACCAAACCATCGCCAGAGAAATCCTAGTAAACAACACAGAAATCATCGATAGATACAGCGATAGCAGGCGGCTTGACGTTTGCGAGGCACTACACATCAAGAAGTCAACACCAGCAATCAACAGCCAATTATTGCACAACTATATTCTACCCACCTCAAGACTCCGCTCCAATATAGAATCATCAAGAAATATGGACCAATAGGCTTTTTACAAACACTTCTATTCAATATCCATTGTTTCGTGTTCTGTCTTGTGTTGATGAAATTAATACCTATTAATACTCTTGTTCTGTCTTGTGTTGATGAAATTAATACCCTATTAATACTCTTGTTCTGTCTTGTGTTGATGAAATTAATACCCTATTAATACCACACTTTGTTCTGTCTTGTGTTAATGCCACATCACCCCTTCCACCTCACTCAAATGTAGATATAAAATCGGAGATACGTAAGTTCTATTCAGTTGTGTATTTGTGAACTAAAGTCTTTGAAAATGTAATAAGTTTTACGAAACGCGCTCGTGTCGCGTCAGACTAGAAATAAAAATGAATTTTGGAGAATTGATTTTTGATTTACCTCCAACAGTGAAGCGTAATGTACGAAAGATTGAGAAAATTCGTGTTAGAATTATTAATCTACTTTTTCGGTCATATTTAATAATATATATATATATATATATATATATATATATATATATATATATATATATATATATATATATATATATATATATATATATATAATATATATATATATATATATATATATATATATATATTTATTTATATAAATATATATATATATATATATATATATATATATTATTATATATATTATTATATATATATATATATTAGGTCTTTCTCCTGATGTGGGCCTTATACCTTCCAATGCTTTTATATATATAACCAAAAAATACTATTTGTGCGCTGGTCGTGGTCCCTGCGTACACGTATGAACATTTAAGTGTCAAAAACGGTTTATACGAATATAGATGACAGTAAACGTTTGCCTCCCGCAGGTGGTCGTCGCCTATATAACTGGCGTCTTGCTGGCAGCGGTCAGTCTTGCCGCTGCTGTGGTCGTGGAGGTACAGAAACGAGGTTTCTCCTGTGTGTTCTCAGCTACTCGTCCAGCACCTCCTGGTTCAGTACTTCTCTTGGTTTACTGGCCAGAAGAGTAGTACCTGTCTCGTGAGCTTCAGGTACAGCATCACTCTCCTTCTCTCATTACCTAAATAGGTTAAGTGGAAGCAACTTAAGTAACCCCCTCTCTCTCTCTCCCTCCCTCCCCTCTACCTCACTCTCTCTCTCTCTTTCTCACTCTCACTCTCACTCTCACTCTCTCACTCTCTCTCTCTCTCTCTCTCTCTCTCTCTCTCTCTCTCTCTCTCTCTCTCTCTCTCTCTCTCTCTCTCTCTCTCTCTCTCGCTCTCTCTCTCTCTCTCTCTCTCTCTCTCTCTCTCTCTCTCTCTCTCTCTCTCTCTCTCTCTCTCTCTATCTCTCTCTCTCTCTCTCTCTCTCTCTCTCTCTCTCTCTCTCTCTCTCTCTCTCTCTCTCTCTCTCTCTCTCTCTCTCTCTCTCTCTCTGTCTCTCACTCTCTATCTCTCTTTCTCTCTCTCTCTCTCTCTCTCTCTCTCTCTCTCTCTCTCTCTCTCTCTCTCTCTCTCTCTCTCTCTCTCTCTCTCTCTCTCTCTCTCTCTCTCTCTCTCTCTCTCTCTCTCTCTCTCTCTCTCAGTCTCTCTCTATTTATCTCTCTCTCTCTTGCTCTCTTGCTCTCCCATCCCTCTCCATAACCAGAGGACAGGTTAGGGCTGGCCGCAGCCTGGAAGAACACAGCCTGAGGACAGGTTAGGGCTGGCCGCAGCCTGGAAGAACACAGCCTGAGGACAGGTTAGGGCTGGCCGCAGCCTGGAAGAGCACAACATGAGGACAGGTTAGGGCTGGCCGCAGCCTGGAAGAACACAACCTGCGGACAGGTTAGGGCTGGCCGCAGCCTGGAAGAGCACAGCCTGAGGACAGGTTAGGGCTGGCTGTAGCCTGGAAGAACACAACCTGAGGACTAGTTAGGGCTGGCTGCAGCCTGGAAGAACACAACCTGAGGACTAGTTAGGGCTGGCTGCAGCCTGGAAGAACACAACCTGTGGATAGGTTAGGGCTGGCCGCAGCCTGGAAGAGCACAACATGAGGACAGGTTAGGGCTGGCCGCAGCCTGGAAGAACACAGCCTGAGGACTAGTTAGGGCTGGCTGCAGCCTGGAAGAACACAACCTGAGGACTAGTTAGGGCTGGCTGCAGCCTGGAAGAACACAACCTGAGGACTAGTTAGGGCTGGCTGCAGCCTGGAAGAACACAACCTGTGGATAGGTTAGGGCTGGCCGCAGCCTGGAAGAACACAGCCTGAGGACAGGTTAGGGCTGGCTGCAGCCTGGAAGAACACAGCCAGAGGACAGGTTAGGGCTGGCTGCAGCCTGGAAGAACACAACCTGAGGACTAGTTAGGGCTGGCTGCAGCCTGGAAGAAAACAACCTGAGGACTAGTTAGGGCTGGCCGCAGCCTGGAAGAACACAGCCTGAGGACAGGTTAGGGCTGGCTGCAGCCTGGAAAAACACAACATGAGGACAGGTTAGGGCTGGCCGCAGCCTGGAAGAACACAACATGAGGACAGGTTAGGGCTGGCTGCAGCCTGGAAGAACACAGCCTGAGGACTAGTTAGGGCTGGCCGCAGCCTGGAAGAGCACAACCTGAGGACTAGTTAGGGCTGGCTGCAGCCTGGAAGAACACAACCTGAGGACTAGTTAGGGCTGGCTGCAGCCTGGAAGAACACAACCTGAGGACAGGTTCAGTTCTGAGGCTCAGGGAAGAGGCCTTACCATAGGCTCCTGATTATGTTATATTATTCATCAGGGGTAACTTACCTATCCTGACAGGACACAATAGTGTTACTGCTTGTGTTGGGGCTTCCATCTGTACCTGCCAAGCTGTGTTCGCACTAATATTTACCTGAATTTACCTGCGGGCCACTGACACTAGTGGCCTCAAAGAGGACAGGAAGCCGGTGACTTGTAAAAGGTACCCTTATTGACCTTGATTGATATTTTCCGGATCATGGGATATGGGCGGATGCTGGCGTGGATATACTCATATATTCATCATATTTGAGTACGTACGATATACTTATCGTATGTGAAGAGTGTAGGTGGAGAAACCTCTCCTTCACAGTGTGAATATGATGAGTCGCGTCGTGTGAATCATTCTTTATTTCGCAAATACCTTTATTCATGTCAGCCATGGTGTTATAAGCGAATGGAACTGCCTACCCACCGGAGCCGTAAATGCCAAAAATGCTATATTTTGTACAAACTATCAGGGTAAATAGGGGGACATTTGACAAGCCGCCGGCCCCCTGTCCTCGTCGAGGCCACTAGAGAGATCATGACCCTCAGGTGAATTCATGATTCCTTAGATATGGAGCAAACATAATTAGGTATTATTATTTATTATGTATGCATTATAAATAATTTCTTTATTGTTAAATGTGTTATTGATTATCATCATTTAGTTTGAATTACCATAAATATTAAATTAACTATTGTTAACAGCCCAATTATACCGGTTGACAGATATGGCCGGCCCTTGTGTGGTGGCTCTGCTGGTCTCCTGCTGTCTGCTGCTGCCTGCTTCCTCCGCTCCAGGTAAGTCTCTCTGCTCTAGGTGTGTGTGTCGTACCTAATAGCCAGAACCACTACTCGGCCTAGTATGCAAAGCCTGATTTGCCTAATAGGCAGTGATTTTCGTTATTTTCCAGACCAAATTTCCCTTGGGTTTATTTTAAATATTATTATTATAATATATTATGAATTACTGACTTAATTATGTTAGCTTAGCTTTGGTTAAGATTGGTTAGGTTAGATGAGGTGAGGTAGGATGGGACGGGGTGAAGGAATGGTTAAGATTAAGGACCTGCCAGAAACGCTATGCGTGCTAGTTAGTAGCTTTACAGAAATGTAAGAACTCATGAACATATATATATATATATATATAAATAAAAAACATAAAAAAAATAATTGTGCCCGACCACGTGAGGGTCGGGAATTGAACGCCGACCTGCATGAAGGGAAACTGTAAATATAGAGCGAGGGTAGAGGTGACAATTTATAAATTAACTCTTGCGTCAAGAATTATCGACGAACAGTTTCCCGGTAGTCTTTCAATGTGTCACGCAGCGCGTGACACAAAAGCTCTGGCTTGCTTCACGACGCAATTCTTTGTTAGTCACAGCTATTTAAGGTTCGTCATGGTTCACAATTTTAGCTTTATAATGAGTGAACTTTACTGGAGATAAAGTGTTACATAAAAAGGCCTAATGAAACAGGATGTAAAACCCTCACCGGAGGCAGGATATGTTTATACCGTTGACAGGATATACTGTTAGGCTTAATGAGCTCTCATTATCCACTAGCTGACCGTTCCCACAGGATGCATGCCACAACAGCCACCTGAATCCTTCTAGGTAAACCTATTTACTGCTAGGGGGAACAGAAGCATCAGGGGTAAGAAAGGACACGTGTCTAAGACCTGATTCATAAAGCAGTTACGCAAGCACTTACGAACCTGTCCATCTTTTCTCAATCTTTGGCGGCTTTGTTTACAGTTATTATTACACAGTTAATGATCTCCAAAGCACCAGGAGGATGTCTATAACAATAACAACAGTTGATTGGCAAGTTTCATGCTTGTAAACTGTTTAATAAATGTAGCCAAAGCCGTCAAAGATTGAGGGAAAGATGTAAACGTTCGTAAATACTTGAATAACTGCTTCGTGAATCTGGCCCCGAATGGAATCCATGAATAATCATTTTTTAGCTCTGACTAAGATTTTGTTTATAATATTTTTGAACAATTGAGCATTTTCTCTCATCAATTTTTATCCTATAACGTTAAAATTAATGCACGATTCACTTCTGTTTTTTATCAAACATTTCCAATTTTCGTTTCATAAGATGTGTCTTATTTTCATGTAATTAAAGGTAGCATTTAACTACATATAGTGACGGTCTTGCTTTATACAGGACCGGCTTTCGATCCTTAACGCTCCAATCATTTAAGACGGCTCCTACACTCACACCTCACAGTTAGACTGCCGTAGAACTTTCTCCTTGAAAATTTGATTCGTTGGTTTGTCGACGAGAAGAAGCCTAAGCCGCTGGCTGAACACGTCGACGAGAGGAAGCCTAAGCCGCTGGCTGAACACGTCGACGAGAGGAAGCCTAAGCCGCTGGCTGAACACGTCGACGAGAGGAAGCCTAAGCCGCTGGCTGAACACGTCGACGAGAGGAAGCCTAAGCCGCTGGCTAAACATGTCGACGAGAGGAAGCCTAAGCCGCTGGCTGAACACGTCGACGAGAGGAAGCCTAAGCCGCTGGCTGAACACGTCGACGAGAGGAAGCCTAAGCCGCTGGCTGAACACGTCGACGAGAGGAAGCCTAAGCCGCTGGCTGAACACGTCGACGAGAGGAAGCCTAAGCCGCTGGCTAAACATGTCGACGAGAGGAAGCCTAAGCCGCTGGCTGAACACGTCCACAATACCGCTCAAACTGTCTTACGCCAACTCCTGTTTCTCAGTTACAGTCCTGCTTCTGTGCCAGGTAAGTCCACTACGGGCTCACCATAGCCCGTGCTACATGGAACTTTTTATTCCCAGTAGCTGAATCTAAAAAACAACCTCTTTCTGTACACAGTTGGCGGAGACGGGGACGTACACACGGCCTGTTTGTACAGTCAGCATGACCTCGCTAAACCCATGGTAAGTCCACACAAGATTTGCTTGGTAATGTCCTTATTGGTCGTCTCAGGCTCCTATTTTATGCCTGATTGCTAGTGCCCTAGTGTATGCCTGATTGCTAGTGCCCTAGTGTATGCCTGATTGCAAGTGCCCTAGTGTATGCCTGATTGCTAGTGCCCTAGTGTATGCCTGATTGCTAGTGCCCTAGTGTATGCCTGATTGCTAGTGCCCTAGTGTATGCCTGATTGCTAGTGCCCTAGTGTATGCCTGATTGCAAGTGCCCTAGTGTATGCCTGATTGCTAGTGCCCTAGTGTATGCCTGATTGCTAGTGCCCTAGTGTATGCCTGATTGCAAGTGTTCTAGTGTGTGTTTTCCACCCTTCTCCCTTTATCTAACACCCTAAATTATTATGACAATGAATTGTTATAACTGAATAATCTCCGTCTAGTTCTCTAAAACAACATTCTCCCTGATGTGTCATCTTCGATTTCTAAGCTCTCAGATATCTTCTTTATCGTTTACTAGTGGACCACATTTGTCCAGTGTTGACAGTTGACAATTACACATGACGAGTCTAGATAAGACAGGAATTCCTGGTATTGAGACCAGGTATTGTCTAAACAGAAGCAAAGAATTTATTTGTAATACAGTTTCCAGACAAGAGTTAGTACTAATTGTCTGCTTCTTTACTCTGTCCTCAAATCCTTATCCTGACCCCTTCCAAATGCTATAAAGTCGTAATGGATTGACGCTTTTCCCTGATAAATACAAATAATTATCTACTCTGCTCTACTCTGTTCTGCAAGGCTCCCATAATTGTCTACACACTTCCTCAACGCCAGCTATGGTCCCCAAAAGCTTTGCTATGATAACATTTGACAATAATCTTCTCTCCATTGTGTGATATAGCAGCCCATCCTTCTGTTTTGGTTGAACCTATAGTAACTATAAAGACCATAGTATATATACCGACGTACAACGAAATTAGAAAGTAGACATCTGGACTACTGAGATGGACAAACCTGAAAACTAGTTTTTTCTTGTGTTGCTTTGACAAACTAACCTAACCTAACCTTCCTAGGTCTAATACACGATATCTGAGGCCTAATATAGTAAATATGTGTGCTATATTAGGCATACATATTGTTTTTTAGCTTTTTGATTTTAAAATAATTTCTTACTAGTCAGTATACTTTTATCTAAAAGCTAAGTACTAACGAATTCTAAGTACTTACGAATGACTATTGACAACCGTCACAATAGGCACTGTCTAAACAGGAGGACAGGTTGGATATAATGGATGTGATGTAATAAACACGGAACTTGTTTCCTCAGGGGAAATGGAACACGCAGCCTTGCCCCTTCACCTTCACGGAGGTGAAGGTGAAGGAAGTCATCATCTACAACGCCACCTGCGCCCCCTCCGACAACTGGCGATGCCGCCCCAACATGCTGGTGGTGAATGATCTCCCCGTCGCCACCTACTGCTACGAAGATCTGCCTGAGGACAGTCCTGGTGACAACCGCTTAGATTCATGAGCGGAGTTGCATAGAAGATAGAACTCCTTCGCAGTGAAATCACAATAACGTGTACCTACGAGATGATCATTGGAGCAGCGGGGGGTTCGATTCCACCGCCCTGCTTTAATGGTTTTATCAATGGACTCGTGTGTTGTTGTCTCTCCTGCCTGACAGTGGGAGCTGTGTATCACCCAAGGTCCCTCTTGCCCTTGTCTCCACACCTGTTTCCACTGTCTTGTTACAGTTGTGGCTGGAGATAACAGCTGTGGCTGGAGCCAACAGCGGTACAGCTGAAGAACACTTTATACCTTATAGTCAAATATGAAACGTAATGTAACAAATATTATAGCATTAGCTTAGAATTAGGAGCCTTATATAAGTTATATATATATATATATATATATATATATATATATATATATATATATATATATATATATATATATATATATATATATATATATATATAACATTTTATATAAATTTGTATAGTCTATGATTTACAAGCAGGCACTTGACGTAAAAATATTGTTTTATAAACATATATTGACACTGATACATTGCTGTTAGTACGGAATTATTTTAACATGTTTGGCTAATTTATATATATGTGATTATTAAAATCCTGATCCTTAAGTGTGTTATTTTATAACACACACACACACACACACACACACACACACACACACACACACACACACACACACACACACACACTCTCTCTCTCTCTCTCACACACACACACGCACACAGAAAGGGGCAGAAGGATTCATTACAAACGACAAGGAAGTGTGAGGAACTGAATTAGAAATTCCAGGAAGTCTTCACCTTAGAGCAAGGAGAAATTCCAGAAATAAGAGAGGGAATAGTTAACCAGGATCCACTGGAAGAGTTTGAGATTACCAGCGGGGAAGTAGGGAAGTGTTTACTAGAGTTGGATTTGACATAGGCTATAGGTCCAGATGGAATCTTCCCTTGGATACTAAAGGAAGGAGCAGAAGAACTGTGCCTGCCACTCTCCATAGTGTATAACAAATCACTGGCAACAGGGGAACTGCCAGAAATTTGGAAAGCAACTAACGTAGTCTCAATATACATGACAGGAGGCACTGAACTACAGGCCAGTGTCCCTAACGTGCATACCATGCAAGCTGATGGAGAAGAGTGTGCGAAGAAAGCTAGTGGAACATATGGAGCGAAAGAACTTTGTAACACAGCATCAACATAGGTTCAGGGATGGCAAGTCCTGCCTCACACAGGTTACTTGAATTCTACGACCAGGTAACAAAAATCAGGCAAGAAAGAGAAGGGTAGGCCCAGCAAACAATTTTAGGTTGCCACAACATATCTGGAAAGTATTTGAAAGTATTGGAAACGTTTGTTTTATCGTATCAGATACGATATTGTGTGTGGACCTAAATAGGTTTCCAAAACTTATAACCAAGACATATGTATCTAACACTAATTTGAGATGTTGTGGCAACTTTACACTTCTAACATGAGTCATTCATAATCCATTCATATACCAATATGAATCTCTTATGAAAGGTTTGAGCCAATAATCTGAACCCTTTTCACATCTTTGTGTTTAAAGTTAAATTTCTTGAAATTAAATTATATTTTATATTATATTATTTTTAATATATTTTATATTATATTATTATTTTCAATTTAAATATTAAAACCAATTTAAGGGTAAAAAAAATCTAATAATTTATATTTCTTTTATTATTTACTAACAATTATAATTATTTACTAACGGAGAGAGGGGAGGCTGTACGGTGGAGAGTGGCGGCGGTGGCGGATAGTGGCGGCGGGCGGACAGTGGCGGCGGGCGGACAGTGGCGGCGGCGGGCGGACAGTGGCGGCGGCGGGCGGACAGTGGCGGCGGGCGGACAGTGGCGGCGGTGGCGGCGGGCGGACAGTGGCGGCGGTGGCGGATAGTGGCGGCGGGCGGACAGTGGCGGCGGTGGCGGATAGTGGCGGCTGTGGCGGATAGTGGCGGCGGGCGGACCGTGGCGGCGGGCGGACAGTGGCGTCGGGCGGACAGTGGCGGCGGTGGCGGATAGTGGCGGCGGGCGGACAGTGGCGTCGGGCGGACAGTGGCGGCGGTGGCGAATAGTGGCGGCGGGCGGACAGTGGCGGCTGTGGCGGATAGTGGCGGCGGGCGGACCGTGGCGGCTTTGGCGGCGGTGGTGGACAGTGGCGGCGGGCGGACAGTGGCGGCGGCGGGCGGACAGTGGCGGCGGCGGGCGGACAGTGGAGGCGGCGGGCGGACAGTGGAGGCGGCGGGCGGACAGTGGAGGCGGCGGGCGGACAGTGGTGGCGGCGGGCGGACAGTGGTGGCGGCGGGCGGACAGTGGTGGCGGCGGGCGGACAGTGGTGGCGGTGGCAGACAGTGTTGGCAGTGGCGGACAGTGGCGGCGGTGGCGGACAGTGGCGGCGGTGGTGGACACTGGCGGCTGTGTCTGGCGGTGGTGGCGGGCGGTGGCGGGTGGCGGCGTCTGTGATGAGTGGTGGCGGCTGGCGGTGGTGGGTGGTGGCGGCGGCGGCTGGTGGTGGTGGGAGGTGGCGGCGGGTGGTGGGTGGCGGCAGCGGCTGGTGGTGGTGGGTGGTGGCGGCGGGTGGTGGGTGGTGGCGGCTGTGGTGGGTGGTGGAGGGCGGTGGCGGGCGGTGGCGGGCGGCGGCGGCTGTGGTGCGTGGTGACGATCGGCGGTGGGGGGGGGCTGGTGGCGGCTGGCGGTGGCGACTGTGGCAACGGGCGGTGACGGCTGATAGCGGGCGGTGGTGGCGGCTGGTGGCAGGTGGTGGTGGCGGCTGGTGGTGGCGGCTGGTGGTGGTGGCAGCTGGTGGTGGTGGCAGCTGGTGGCGGTGATGGCGGCTGGTGGTGGTGGCAGCTGGTGGCAGCTGGTGGCGGTGATGGCGGCTGGTGGTGGTGGTGAGGGTGATGGCGGCTGGTGGTGGTGGCAGCTGGTGGCGGTGATGGCGGCTGGTGGTGGTGGTGAGGGTGATGGCGGCTGGTGGCGGGCGGTGGAAGGCGGTGGCGGCTTGTGGTGGTGGTGGTGGTGATGGCGGCTGGTGGCGGGCTGTGGAAGGCGGTGGCGGGCGGTGGCGGCTTGTGGCGGCTGGTGGTGGCGGCGGTGGTGGGTGGTGGTGGTGGTGGTGGTGGTGGGTGGTGGTGGCGGCTGTGGTGGGTGGTGGCGGTGGTGTCGGCGGCGGCTGTGGTGGGTGGTGGCGGCGGCGGCGGTGATGGGTGGTGGCGGCGGCGGTGGTGGTGGGTGGTGGTGGCGGCGGCGGTGATGGGTGGTGGCGGCGGTGGTGGTGGGTGGTGGTGGCGGCGGCGGCTGGTGGTGGTGGGTGGTGGTGGTGGGTGGTGGCGGCGGGTGGCGGTGGTGGGTGGCGGTGGCTGGTGGCTGGTGGCGGGTGGCGGCTGGTGGTGGGTGGTGGCGGCGGGTGGTGAGTGGCGGTGGTGGGTGGCGGTGGCTGGTGGCGGGTGGCGGCTGGTGGTGGGTGGTGGCAGGTGGCGGCTGGTGGTGGGTGGTGGCGGGTGGCGGCTGGTGGTAGGTGGTGGCGGGTGGCGGCTGGTGGTGGGTGGTGGCGGCTGGTGGTGGGTGGCGAGTGGCGGCTGGTGGTGGGTGGCGGCTGGTGGTGGGTGGTGGGTGGCGGCGGGTGGCGGCTGGTGGTGGGTGGCGGGTGGCGGCGGGTGGCGGCTGGTGGTGGGTGGTGGCAGGTGGCGGCTGGTGGTGGGTGGTGGCGGGTGGCGGCTGGTGGCGGGTGGCGGCTGGTGGTGGGTGGCGGGTGGCGGCTGGTGGTGGGTGGCGGGTGGCGGCGGGTGGCGGGTGGCGGCGGCCAGCTGGGACACACCCTTCACCAGTGAAGGTCTGAGCACAACTGACCACAGTGAATTGATTAATAATGGATCACCCTAGACTGAAAGTGTTGTCATGGAATGTTAATGGTTTAAGAAATAGGGTTAAAGATGTTCATTGTTATGTGATGGGAAATGATATTGATGTTGTAGCTCTCCAGGTGACAGGGGATAGGAATGAAGGCTTATTGAAATTAAATGGTTATAAAGGGTTTAACCTCTTCGCCGCAAATAACGTCAGAGGCACGTCAATTTATGTTAAGAACTCCATACCAGCAGAGTTAGTAGAACCGCCATCAAAAACGCAAGGTATAGAGAGTGTCTGTGTTAAATTATCATTAAGGGAAGGGGAATTTATTGTAGTTAATTTGTATGTATCCAGGAACTGCTTCGACGCTAACTATCTACCTGACTGCATTTATACTGATCCTTCACTGGTCATTAGGGACCTTAATGCTCGGCACACAAGCCTTGGGACAGTGGGTAGCATTAGTATTAATGGGGTCAAGTGGTTACAGTTTCTACAAGATCATCCAGATACCTGTCTATTGGGAAACAATGAACCAACTCACATCAGGGGAGGACGGCTTGACTATGCCTGCATTTTAAACTCTCAGGGGATTATGGGGGAGGCTCGGGTTGTTCGGGAACTACTTAGTGACCACTTTGCCTTGAACGTTGAATTACCACTGGGGAAAAAACAAGTCTACTTTCAAAGGAAAAGGCTAAATATTAATAAAGATATGAAAAATTATTTTATTCAAAATATGGGAGATTGGTATCAACAATACACGCCGCTCTGCGTTGATAGTTTTTACGAGGATATGGTCGAGAACATAGAGAAATTAGTACAGAGGGAAAATAACGGGGGCAGGGGAAGCAAGACGCATGGACCTAAGAAATTTAAATATTCCAATGATCAACAAGTCAATGGGTGGGAGAGAATGCTACGGAGTGCACATAAAGAATGGATAAAAAATGGAATGAGGGATGAAGAGAAAAATACAATGTTGGAAGTGGCTAGGGAATGCAGTCAGGTGAGGAAGGAGGCGCGGGACAGATACTGGCAAGACTTTGCTCAGTCCATTGGTAATACTAAGAACCTTAAAGACATATGGAGAGCAGTAAATAAAGTCAGGGGTTGTAAGACCAAATTCATTGCTCACTCAGATCCAGGGAAGGTTGCTAATGAGTTAGTAGATAAATGGGCTAGTGCTGCTGGTATTGAGTCCTTACCTGCAGACACGAGAGTCACCATTGAGTCATGGGAAAATATTAGAAATGGAGTAACTTTATGTGCCTTAAATACAAGATCTATAGCGTGCACTGAGATAACTCACGATGAGCTACTGGATGCTATAAAAAGTGGCAGCTCTACTGCTCCCGGGAAAGATGGAGTAACGTATGACATTCTGAATTATTTAGCCGGTATGAAACCTAGTCCCTTACTTGATTTGTTTAATATGAGTTATAGAGAGGGAAAGTTACCAAGA